GAGAGAGAGGCAGAGACACAGGCAGAGGGAGAAGCAGGCTCCATGCGCCGGGAGCCCGACGTGGGATTCGATCCCGGGTCTCCAGGATCGCGCCCTGGGCCAAAGGCAGGCGCCAAACCGCTGCGCCACCCAGGGATCCCTCAAGATATTTTTAAATGTACCTTTTGATTTCTTCTTTGCTCCATTGGTTATTCAGGAGTATGTTGTTTAATTTCCACATATTTGTGAATTTCTAGTTTTCCTCCGTGTTATTGATTTTTAGTTTTATACTACTGTGGTCAGAAAAAATACTTTCTATAATTTCAGTTTTAAAATTTTTGCTAACATTTATTTTGTGACATGTGATCTATCCTGGAGCATGTGTATTCTCCTGCTTTTGGATGGAATGTTCTACATATGTCTGTTAGGTCCTTTTGGTGTTAAGTGCAGTTTAAGCCCAACTTTTCTGTTTTAGTTTTCTGGATTTACTATTCATTGTTGAAAGTGGGGTAGTGAAGTCTCTCACTATTAATTGCATTTTCTCTTTCTCCCTTCAGAACTGTTAGTGTTTCTTAATATATTTAGGTGCTCTGATGATAGGTGCATACATATTTAGTTATTATATCCTCTTTATGAATTAAGCCTTTGTTATTACATAATGATCTTCTTTGTCTTTTGTTACAGTTCTTTTCTTAAAGTCTGTTTTGTCTAAGTGTAGCTACCCCTACCCTCTTTTGGTTTCACTTGCGTGGAATATCTTTTTCATGCCACACTTTGAGCATATGCATGTCATTAACGTAAAGTGAATTGATTATAGCCAGCCTACAGTTGGATCTTGTTTTTTATCATCCAACCACTGTGTAGCTTTTAATTGTAGAATTTAATCCATTTATATTTATAGTAATTATTGATAGTTAAGGACTTACTAATGCCATCTTACTGTTTTCTGGCTGTTATATAGTTCCCTTATTCCTTTATGAATTGATGATTTTTTATAGTTTCATGCTGTGTTTCCCTCTTTATTTTTCTGTAGGTTTTTGCTTTGTGGTTACCATGAGGCTTACATAACACAACTTAAAGATAGAGCATTCATTTTTTTTAAAGATTTATTTATTTATTTATTCATGACAGAGAGAGAGAGAGAGGCAGAGACACAGGCAGAGAGAGAAGCAGGCTCCACGCAGGGAGCCCGACGTGGGACTCGATCCAGGGTCTCCAGGATCACACCCTGGGCCGAAGGCGGTGCCACCGGGGCTGCCCAGAGCATTCTTTTTTTATGCTGATAACTTTACTTACTAAAACTCTACACTTTTATTCCCTTCCTTGTAAATTTTGATATCACAACTTACCTGTTTTTTTTTATTGCCTGTTCATTAATAAGTTACTGTAGTTTTTAAAATGTATTTTATTTTAATTTCAGTACTGTGAACATTCAGTGTTATATTAGTTCCAGGTGTACAATGTAGACATTCATCAATTCTATATATTACTCAGTGCTCATTATGATAAGTGTACCCTTAATTCCTATATTCTGTATAACTCATTCTTCCCCCAACCCCCACCTCCACTCTGGTAACCATTAATTTGTTCTCTGTAGTTAGAAATCTGTTTCTTGGGTTTGTCTGTCTCTCCCTTTTTTTTTTCCTTTGCTCATTTGTTTCTTAAATTCCATATATAAGTGAAATCATATGGTATTTGTCTTTCTCTGACTGTCTTATTTTGCTTAGCATTATACTGTGTAAATCCATCTGTTGTTGCAAATGGCAAGATTTCATTTTTTGTTATGGCTGAAAAATATTACATTGTGTATATATATACTGCATCTTTATCCATTCATCTATGGATGGACACTTAGGCTGCTTCCGTAATTGGCTATTAATTATGCTGCAATAAACATAGGGTGCATATATTCCTTCAAATGAATGTTTTCATATTCTTTGAGTAGATACCCAGTAGTGCGATTATTGTATGGCAGGGTAGTTCTATTTTCAACTTTTTGAGGAACCTCCACTGTTTTCCACAGTGGCTACACCAGTTTGCCTTCCTGCCCACAGTGTACAAGAGTTCCTTTTTCTCCATATCCTTGCCAATACCTGTTGTTTCTTGTGTTATTTTAGCCATTCTGACCGGTATGAGGTGATACCCCATTGTGGTTTTGATTTGCATTTCCCTGATGATAAGTGATGTTGAACATCTTTTCATGTGTCCGTTGGCCATCTGCATGTCTTTTTTAGAGAAATATCTGTTCATATTTTCTGGCCATTTTTTAATTAGATTATTTTATTTTTGGGGTAGTGTATCAGTTCTTTTTGTTTTTTGGACACTGCTCGCTTCAGCAGCACATACACTAAAATTGTATTTTGGACACTAACTTTATTGGATATGTCATTTGTAGCTAATAGTTATTTTTAATGCTTTTGTCCTTTCATCTTTATAAGTTATAGAATTAAGTGATTAATATACCATCATATTACAGTATTAGAGTATTCAGACTTGAACCATATACTTACCTTCACCAGTATGTTGTATGTTTTTATATATATTCATGTTAATAATTAGCATTATTTCATTTCAGCTTGACAGTCTTTCTTGTTGCTATTTTGTTTTTAGAGACTGAGAGCTAGAGAGAGAAAGAGAGAGAGCGAGTGGGTGGGAAGGAGCAGAAGGAGAGAGAATCCCGAGGCTCCATGCTCAGCAGGGAGCCCAACTCGAGGCTTGATCTCATAACCCTGAGATTATGACCTGAGCCGAAATCAAGAGTCGGATGCTTAACCGACTTTGATCCAGGTGCCCTGATCTTGTTTTTTAATGCAAGTGTTTATAGCTATACATTTCCCCTTAGTGCTGCTTTTGTTACATCCCGTGAATTTTGGGATGTTGTGTTTATTTTATGTTGTGTGTATTTTTTATCTGTGTTAAAATAAATTCATCCACTTTAATTCATCTATTTTCCCTTGTGATTTCTTCTTTGATCTATTGGTTGTTTAAGAATATGGTATTTATCAAAAAAGTATGGTACTGGCACAAAAATGGATACATTGATTGATGGAACAGAATAGAGAGCCCAGAAATAAACCCATACTTATATAGTCATTTAATCTCTAACAAAGGAGGTAAGAATATACAATGGGCAAAAGACAACCCCTTCATAAATGGTGCTGGGAAAACTGGATAGCTACATGTAAAAGAATGAAACTGGACCACTTTCTTAAACCATACACAAAATGGATTAAAGACCTGAATTAAGACCTGAAATCATAAAACTCATAGAAGAAAACATAGGCAGTAATTTCTTTGACATCCATCTTGAAATTACCATGGCAGACTTCCAGTTACCTTGAACTCAAGTCTCATAGCCATTCCAAGCTGCAAAGAGATCTTGGAAATGTAGTTTTCTTAGCTAAGTATCAATGTATTCAGGTTAAAAATTGGGGTTCTTTTGGGATCCCTGGGTGGCGCAGCGGTTTGGCGCCTGCCTTTGGCCCAGGGCGCGATCCTGGAGACCCGGGATCGAGTCCCACGTCGGGCTCCCGGTGCATGGAGCCTGCTTCTCCCTCTGCCTGTGTCTCTGCCTCTCTCTCTCTCTCTCTCACTGTGTGCCTATCATAAATAAAAATTAAAAAAAAATTGGGGTTCTTTTATTAAGAAAAAAGGGAGAATGATTGGGAAGGCAAATAGCTCCCCCAAAGAAAGGAAAGAAAAGAATATGTCATTTAATTTCCACAGATTAGTGAATTTTTGTTTTTGTTTGGTTATTTCTAACTTAATTTTGTTGTGGTTAGGGGACATATTTTGTCTGTTATCTATCTTTTCAAGTTTATTGGAAACTTATAGCCTAATGTACAGTCTGTCCAAATGTTCCATGTATACTTGAGAATAATGTATATGCTAAATGGTAGAGTAGTGTTCTGTATATGTCCATTAATTGATACTTATCTTGATATCAGCTCCTATGTTGAAAATCATTCATTTGGAATTTTGAATGTTTTGTGTTACTTTATTCTACCCGGAATCAATTTATAAAATAGTTTATCCATTTCTTTCCCCATTTTGCTGCCTATTTCTGCTTTGGGGTATTTATTGCTTCTTTGGTTTTCATGTTTGAGGTTTGTTTTTGTAAAGACAGGAACAAAAATCAGTTGAAGATCCACTGCTAGAAACAAGAAATTAAATATATTACCATAAATGAAATTTTAAAGAGACACGCAAAATACTTAACCCCACTTTGTTGCTGTTTTATTCCACAAACAAAAGTAGCACAATACTATATTTTATCCTGTCATTATTGTATCCATAGATTGCTCTCTCAGTCTCTGTAGCTATCTTCTCCAATTCATTTTTTGCTGTATTTTTGAGGTTCTTTCTGAGATACTTGCCCTTTTCATCTTTAGAATTTCCTTTAGTGGATGTTCTGATTGAAAAATCTTAGTTTCTTTTTTTTTTTTTAAGATTTTATTTATTCATGAGAGACACACACAGAGAGAGGCAGAGACACAGGCAGAGGGAGAAGTAGGCTTCATGCAGGGAGCCCGATGTGGGACTTGATCCTGGGACTCCAGGATCACGCCCTGAGCCAAAGGCAGATGCTCAACCACTGAGCCACCCAGGCATCCAAAAAAAAATCTTAGTTTTACTTGTTATTTTAATTGAATTCTTCTTTTTTTTTTTTAATTTTTATTTATTTATGATAGTCACACAGAGAGAGAGAGAGGCGCAGAGACATAGGCAGAGAGAAGCAGGCTCCATGCACCGGGAGCCCGACGTGGGATTCGATCCTGGGTCTCCAGGATCGCGCCCTGGGCCAAAGGCAGGCGCCAAACCTCTGCGCCACCCAGGGATCCCTAATTGAATTCTTCTATAAAATTTTTTTGAGTAGAGAATTATTTTCCTTTAGTACCTTATCTTTTCACCATGTTTCTTAGAAGTCACCAATTTAATTTTTATTAAGGGCCAAGTGTGTGTATTTTTATTTAAAGTGGTATTGACTAATATAATTATTTTCTTGTGTTTTTCCCCTATAGGGAATACAGTGAGTAACCTGATTATGATTATACCTCCAATTTTTGGTGCAATTCAGAGTGTTAGAGATGGACTGGAAAAGCGGTACATTGCTTCTTATTTAGCACTCACAGGTACGTACAACACTTCATCTAAAAATAATGTATAGTATTCACATGGGTTATTTTTCTCATTCATACCTAAAATTGGTTCTTAATTTTATATTGTTTATTACACAACTGGAATATATTCTGAAACTTCTGACTTAAAATTCCAGTAAACTGAACTGCATGTTGAGTAGTTTTTTTTTAAAAAAATAGAATATTTCAAGCACATAGGAAAGAATAGAGATAATATAACAAACATACCCATGTATTTTTGTCACATATTAGTACTTTGCTATATTTGTTTCAGATTTTTTTCTTTTTTAAGGAAATATACTATGGATAAAACTTAAGCTACATTTGTATTTCTGCCTGATTTTATTTCCCTCATCCTCCCAGAGTTAACCCCTAACTTAGTTTGATTATCATTTTCTCACGTTTTTGTATTTATACTACATATATATGTATACTTAAAAGTATATATGATATGGTTTGCATATTTTCATACTTTTCATAAAGGATATTGTACTCTGTTTAACCTTTTGCAACTTACTCATATTTGTCTACTTGTCTGTGAGGCAGGGACTATGTCTTGGTTATCTTTGTGTCCCTATTGACTGGCAATTTAGTGGTCTTCAGTAAGTATTGGATGGATGGATAAATGAACTCTACCAGAGCGTAAGACGGGAAACTCTCTGCCTTGTTCTTGCATTATCATCGTAATGACAAAAACAACAAAGTTGATTCTAGTTTGTTTTTTATTTTTATTTTTTTAATTTTATTTATTTATTCATGAGAGACACAGTGAGGCAGAGACACAGGCAGAGGGAGAAGCAGGCTCCATGCAGGGAACCCAATGTGGGACTCCATCCCAGGACCCTGGGATCACACCCTGGGCTGAAGGCAGGTGCTAAACCACTGACCACCCAGGGATCCCGAACGGAGAGATTCTAATGCAGACTCCATACTTAGCACAGAGCCCAACATGGCACTCGCTCGATCTCTGGACTCTAAGATCATGACCCAAGCCTAAACCAAGAGTTGGAAGCTTAATTGACTGTGACACCTAGGTGCCCCTACTTCCTGGGATGTTTTAAGAATGTTTATAAAATATTGACAAATCACAATCAGTAATAACAATAAAATAAAAAGATTTAAGGAACTTTCTGGTTGCCCTAGGATAATGGTGGCCTCCTAAATTAGAATTTGTCCATTCCTCCTCCTGGAAAACTATGTAGAGTAAGAAAGTAAATAATGCCACACTTATTTTTTTTTAATTTTTATTTATTTATGATAGTCACAGAGAGAGAGAGAGAGGCAGAGACATAGGCAGAGGGAGAAGCAGGCTCCATGCACCGGGATCCCGACGTGGGATCGATCCCAGGTCTCCAGGATCGCGCCCTGGGCCAAAGGCAGGCGCTAAACCACTGCGCCACCCAGAGATACCAGTGCCACACTTATTTGATTCTTTCAGCTTACCATGAGAAAAAGAATATGTGAACTTCAAATCATTTTTAAATAAGCAAAAACACCAAATTTCAACAGAACTATCTGATGTTTTAGACTTGGGGAAGTTTGAAAAACTGCATGGAAGAGAGGAGAGGGATTGAGAGCCTAAGTCTGGAATATATAAATAAATAAAAATTCACGTTAAATGCAAAATTTCTGAAAGCAATCTAAGATTTGGTAGATCACAATACTGGCTAAAGGTGTAAATTACTTAAAAGTATTTAAGACCTAAGGTGGCATTTTTGGAAAAGTACCTCTGGGAAAGAGAGAAATAGAAAGGAGTGGGACTAGGGTGCCTGCACGGCTGATTTGGTTAAGCATCTGACTCTTGATTTCTGCTTAGGTCATGATCTCAGGGTCATGGGATTTGATCTCTGTGTAGGGGTCCATGCTGAGTGTAGAGCTTGCTTGGGATTCTTTTTCTCTCAAAAAAACAAAATTATTTTAAAGAAGAAAAGGGAGAGACCCTTTGGAGATATGTTAGTGAAGGGAAAGAAGGAAGCTAGAGGGAGGAATTAATATCGTATGGAAACAAAGAAACTCAAACATGTCAGACCCTTATCCTCCATTCCCCACCCTCCCAAGTAAATAAGTATTCTTTGGAAAAGGGCGTTAAACCTCACTATTCTCACAGAAGGGGGCAGTCTTGAACTAGGAATTTTTTAAGCCCCCCGAAAATCTTTACGCTTTCCATAAATAGACCAAAAGAAGCAGTCTACATCCATATAAAATTACTGTAAAAAGAAAACAGAAAATGAGAATAAGATTTTTTGGCTCCTGGGCATCCTTCCCCTACAACTAGTTACAAAGCAGAAGGAAAGAGTAGCACAAAACTCCTAGCTGAATTAGGTACCCTCAAAGAAATGAATCAAAATTTTAAAAACAAATAACACCTCCTTCTCCCCAAAGAAATAAAATTAGAATTGATTAAATTTAGGAAAAATATTAAGGTTGAATTACAATGTGTTGACAGTTTAATCGGGGCTACTTGAGAAGGCAGAGAAATAAGCAAAAGAATGAAAATGAGATAAAAGGGTCAGAGAGAAAGTAATTGAAATGGAAGAGAGGCAGAGAAGATATCATATACGTATAATTGAAGTCCCTGGAGAAGAAAAACAAAACAGTGAAATAGAGCTTACGTTTAAAACTATAATCCAGGGATGACTGGATGGCTCAGTGGTTGAGCACCTGCCTTTGGCTCAGGGCATGATCCCAGGTTCCAGGATCGACTCCTGCATTGAGCTCCCTGCATGGAGCCTGCTTCTCCCTCTGTCTGTGTCTCTGCCTCTCTCTGTCTCTCATGAATAAATAAATAAATCTTAAAAAAAATTATAATTCAATAAATTTTTTTAGAAATGAAAGAAGAAAAATGAATCTGTATTAAAAGGTCCATTTTTACCTCTTAAAACTGACTTGGAATGGTTTACTCTGAAACATAGCCTTTAAAACCACTGTATTTTAAAAATGAAAAGAAAAGAAAATCCTTAAAGCTCTAGTAAAAAAGGCTGGGTTACAGGGACGCCTGGGTGGCTCAGCAGTTGAGCATCTGCCTTTGACTCAGGGCGTGATCCCGGAGTCCTGGGATCCAATCCTACATCAGGCTCCATGCAGGGAGCCTGCTTTCCCCCTCTGTCTTGTCTATGCCTGTGTCTCTGTGTCTCTCATGAATAAATAAAAATCTTTAAAAAAAAAAAAGGCTGAGTTACTTGACTAGGGCAAATAAATTAGGCTGGCATTAGACATCATCAGCAAAACAAAGAAAAGCACCAATGAAACACCATTTTTAGTGTTGGTTTAAACATTAAAAATGGATTTCCTATTCCAGTCAAGTTTTTTTCAAATATCCGGGTTATAAGAAGACATTTTTAAACATGCAGGTACTCACTGACTATTATACATGTGACTCCTTCCTCATAAATCTGTGAGCACTGTACTAAGTTAGTGTCTACTAGCCACATTTCAAGTGCTCAATATTTATATGTGGCTCATGGCTACCCTATTGGGCAGTACAGATACAGAGCATATCCATCATCACAGAAGGTTCTGCTGACTACATTATACTAAGGAATGATGTTTATCCAAGTAAGAGAAAACTGGGAAAACTTTGGCAAAATGTCGATGATGAGCCTTTAACATATTCAACTAAGGCTGCAACAAGTGGGATAGGGCTGAAGGATAATAGACAGACATTGTATAGTCTAATAAGTAAAAAGAGTGAGGGTTTTTTTTTTTAAAAAGATTTTTTATTTAAGTTCATGAGAGACACAGAGAGAGAGAGAGAGAGAGGCAGAGACACAGGCAGAGGGAGAAGCAGGCTCTAGGCAGGAAGCCTGATGCGGGACTCAATCCTGGGATTCCAGGATCATGCCCTTGAGCCGAAGGCAGATGCTCAACCACTGAGCCACCCAGGAGTCCCAGAATGAGGAATATTTTTAATGAGGGAAGGAAAGAGCAAAGTAGAATAAGTTTGTTGACTGTTGCCTATGTAATAATTTGAGTATTAAAGAATATGATTTAAGCATAACAAGTTGGATTATAAAGATCAAATAAGAAAAGAAAGGGGGACTCAGGGAACTATAAAATTCATAAGAAATAAAGAAACCCCTGAAACAAAAAAAACTCTTTCCTACCTATCAAAAGAAATTTTTTAAAGAGCAAAAAAGACTTACTACTTAGAGAAATACTAAATATAAAATGATGTGTAACAATTATAGTAAGATGATAGAGTTGAGATTGAACTTATTTCAATTAATGCAGATGAGCTTAATTGTCAAAATGAAAACATTTAAAAATTTGCTTACTAAACAAGACTAAACTTTATACAAAAGACACACCTAAAACAAAATGATTCAGAAAATTTGGAAATCATAAGAAGATAAGGCTAGTGATCTCGATATCATATAAAGTAGAATTCTTATTAAAAAGCATTAAATGTGAAAAAGAAAGACTTTATAATTCTAGAAGCCATGATTCAGAATGAAAGTACAACAGTTGGGCAGCCCTGGTGGCGCAGCAGTTTAGCGCTGCTTGCAGCCCAGGGTGTGATCCTGGAGACCCGGGATCGAGTCCCATGTCAGGCTCCCTGCATGGAGCCTGCTTCTCCCTCTGCCTGTGTCTCTGCCTCTCTCTCTCTCTCTGTATCTCTCATGAATAAATAAATTTAAAAAATCTTAAAAAAAAAAAAAGAAAGTACAACAGTTATAAATATCTCTGCACCAAATAATACAAATACCATTTTTATATAGCAGAAACTATAAAAGATACAGGGAGAAGTAGAACTATAATGATAGAAGATTATAATATGCCACACTCAGTACAAAACAGGTGAAGTGAACAACAAAAATCAAGAATATCTAAGACCAAAAAAAAAAAAAAAAAAAAAAAAAAAAGAATATCTAAGACCTAACAACATAACTAATAAAGTTGACAACATGAATTTATGCTGAATTTCATACCCTTATGGAACATATGCCCTCTTCTCAAGTGTGCATAAAATGTTCATAAGAACAAGATTGGAATGT